TAAAATAAATTCTTACAATTATAAACCTGACTTTTTTCTGAATCAAAACAAAGTGTGTATAATTACTTAATTAAAAAAATCCTAGAATCTTCTGATTAAGCCCTATAATCTTCTGATTTTTACAATAAAGATCAAGCAAGGTAATATTGTATATTTATACAGAATATCAAATAAATAATACATTTGCCTCCGCTACATCACATTATTTGTTGCTCCGACTGGTTCCAGGGCTGTCCAATCGCATGCAAAGACAGTTTGAAAGACAACTGTAGATCCTGCCCCCGACTGAGTTTTCTCGATGGCTCATGGCCAGACTACATACACTGCCCTGCCCAAAAAAAGTCACCACCCAATTAAAAAAGGTCACACACTCTAATTTTGTTGGAACACCTGCAGCTTTGATTACGGTATCAATTCACTGTGATTGTTTTGATAAGCTTCCTCAATGTCACAAAGTTTATTCCATCCAGTGTTGCATTAATGTTTCACCAAGTTGCATTGATGATGGTAGAGTCTGACCTCTGCACAAAGCCTTCTCCGGCACATGCCAAAGCTTCTCAGTGAAGTTAAGGTGTGGACTCTGTGGTGACCAATCCACGTGTGAAAATTATGTCTCATTCTCACTGAACCACTCTTTCACTATTTGAGCCCAATGAATCCTGGCATTGTGATCTTGGAATATGCCCGTGCCATCCGGGAAGATGGAATAACCTGGTTATTCAGTATATTCAGGAAGTCAGCTGACCTCATTCTTGGACTACATCCTGTTGCTGAACCAAGATCTGACAAACTGCAGCAACCCCAGATCATAATTCTGCCCCCACAGGCTTGTATAGTAGGCACTGGGCATGTGTCAGGGTGTGGGTTTGGAGGAAGGTTAGGAGTGCGTCAAAATTAAACGCTTGGTCAGCCACCCTCCGCGTCAGACCCCTGATGCCAAAAGTGCCCCTTTTTCCTCACTTATGTGCGAAAAGGGTTTTTTCCCTTTTCTGACTGCAGATCCCAATGCAGCGTAAAACTGACGCGATGCGATATCCGCTGATGCGGCACCGAAACAGCTCATTTAACCGCATCTAAACCTTAATATTTTACTATTTATAACCTTCCTCTCACCCTCATCCTAACCTTAACCCTCTTGCTACCTAAAAGTTACTGTCACTGTGATCAAGCATTTGTTTCCCATGCATTCTGACTGTGAATTTTCATATTTGCCGCCCAAGGGGAAAGTTAGAACATACCATCTGGTGAAGGGGAGTTTACAAATACCCTCTGCTTTTAACCTCCACCTTGGTAGTTGAAACCTCCCCCTCGCGTTGCCTCGGTCCAAACCCGACCAATGACGAGGCGGCTCCCGCCGTTCACTTCATAGAGCCGGCTTTTAGAGCAACCGACACATCACTAACGCGTTAGCTAGCAAGGTGGTTAAGGTTAGGGGTGAGGGGAAGGTTAAATAACTAGAGGATAAGGTTAGGGTGAGGTACAATGAGCTTGTTTGGTGCCCTGGCTGCAGACATCCCATCGCGTCAGTTTTACGCTGCATTGGGATCTGCAGTCAGAAAAGGGAAAAAACCCTTTTCGCACATAAGTGACGAAAAAGGGCACTTTTGGCGTCAGGAGTCTGACGCGGAGGGTGGCTGACCAAGCGTTTTTTTTTTTTTTTTTTTTGACGCGCTGGGAGTGAGAACGTGTTGAGACACGAGGCAGGAGGTGGAAAAAATGTAAAATCCTTTGTTAAGGAGGAAATCCAAAGGAGGCAGGGAGCCATAAACCAAAGTCCAAAAATCCTAATATCAAAACCTAGAGAAATCCAAGAACACGTGAGACCTAGAGAGCTACTAACACCTAGAGAGGGGGACGAGACGAGGCTGACACAAACAATGGACCAACAACACAGAGAGACACAGACAAGGTTATAGACACAGGGGTGGGATGAATGGGAGATGAGCTGCAGGTGCGTGAGGAGAGAGAACCTAGTGAAATCAATTAACTAACCAGGGAGAGGAAACTAAGCTGAGAAGGTAAAATAAACATGACCTAATAACCAAAACCTAAAGACTGGGAGAACAAAATAAAGATCTAAGGAGAAAAGGAGAACTAATAAACTGGTGGGGAAGGACCAAGGAACCTAGGAGAAGAAAACCTGAACCTATGAGAACTATAGGAAAAAAACTAGTTAGATATTACAAGAAAACAAGAATAGGTGAACCTGGGAAACCTGGTGGGAGCTGGAGGCAAGAAGAGGAACAGGAAGCATAAGGGGAGACCTGGAGAGAGAAACCTGAAGGGGGCTGTAGACAAGGGGACACATGAGGAACACAAGGAGACGCATAAGGGCATCCTAGAGAGGGATGGAGAACACCAGGAGACACATGAGGGAGACGCAGACCGTGACAGCACGAGGGGTGCATCACTTCATCTGCCTCTCTTCTTACCCTGATGCACCATCACTCTAAACAGGGTCCATCTGGACTCATCAGACCAGCTTTTAATAATGCGTTGGACAGTTCTTAACCCAGTTTTGGTCATTTCTGTGTCTCCATAGATGTTTTCTCTGCTTGATGCATGCCAACGATCTGACCATTCCCAAAAAAGACTAACATCTTTTCCACAACCACCAGATGTGTCTTTACACATGGTTGTTTAGGAAATGAGAAGCAACTAATTGCAACAGTTGGGATTAAATAACTTGTTCCCATCTTAAATATGACTGCCCATGCAGTTATTATCTAATAGGAGGCTTGCAACTATTTACTTGGTTAAATCCAGGTGGCGACTTTTTTGATGGACAGGCAGTGTACAGCAATTTCAGCTGGTGTTGTGTGTGTGTGTGTGTGTGTGTGTGTGTGTGTGTGTGTGTGTGTGTGTGTGTGTGTGTGTGTGTGTGTGTGTGTGTGTGTGTGTGTGTGTGTGTGTGTGTGTGTGTGTGTGTGTGTGTGAGGTGGGGTTACATTGGGTAAAAGAAATCTAATGATTTGCTTGTGCAGATTTATGAAGTGATGTTCAGCTGGGAAATTTGCCCACAGAGCACTTCCAGGATGATGGTGCTCAGATCTACTGTAAACCCCACATACAATATCCTGATGGCTGAGTCACTGAGGTTATTTGGGGCTCTCACAGAAATTATGGGCCCATGTTGACACAGAAGACTTTTCAGTTTGTAGGCAAACTGCAGGGCATCGACAAGGGAGGCTGTGATATATGTGATAGCGAGAAATGGGGGGGAGGTTCAAGGACTTCATCAAGATGGAGGTTTGGATCTATCAGATCAGATCCCGGGTCGGGAGAGAGGTCCTACCTCAAGTGGAGGAGTTTAAGTATCTCGGGGTCTTGTTCACGAGTGAGTGTAGGAGGGATCGGGAGATCGACAGGCGGATTGGTTCAGCGTCTGCAGTGAAGCGGACGCTGAGCCGATCTGTCGTGGTGAAGAGGGAGCTGAGCCAGAAAGCCAGGCTCTCGATTTACAGGTCGATCTACGTCCCAATCCTCACCTATCGTCATGAGTTTTGGGTAATGACCGAAAGAACGAGATCGCGGATACAAGCGGCCGAAATGAGTTTCCTCCGTAGGGTGGCCGGGCTCAGCCTTAGAGATAGGGTGAGGAGCTCGGACATTCGGGAGGGACTCGGAGTAGAACCGCTGCTCCTCCGGATCGAAAGGAGTCAGTTGAGGTGGTTTGGGCATCTGGTCAGGATGCCTCCTGGACCCCTCCCTGGGGAGGTGTTTCAGGCATGTCCTGCCAGCAGGAGGCCCCCGGGTCGACCCAGGACACGTTGGAGAGGTTACATCTCCAATCTGGTCCGGGAACGCTTTGGGGTCCTGCCGGAGGAGCTGGTGGAGGTGGGTGGGGAGAGGACGGTCTGGAGCTCCCTAGGTGGGATGCTGCCCCCACGACCCAGACCCGGATAAGCGGAGGAAGACGACGACGACGAAAAAAAAATGCTGATATTTTTAAGATGATTTTAAAATAAGTTACATAAACAATCTACTGGAGTCAGAAAACAAGTCTACCATTCTAAAAATTCAGATCCTTCCTACACCCCTAAGACCAGAAGTGAACAGCTGTGAATTTGGAGGTGGTTCTGGTCCTGCTGCTGGCCTGTGACCCACAGACGCACTCCAGCTGTTCTCCACAGCTCGTCAGCGCGCTGATAACGAGCTGCACTGAGCGTGGTGTCCAGGTCCGAGGTAATGCTCAGATGTTCCGATGGGAATCTTTTCTTGATTGATTTTGTCACCTCCGCTGTTCTCTGTGCGTTACAATTAAAATGTCTGCACACCTGCATGCGTCGAGGTAATCCCTGTCTGTCAAAATGACCAACAGCCTCGAGATTTTTCAAAAAAATTTAGTCAAATACGGAAAATGTTCATTTAACGAGATCCCTGCCAACATGTTACTTTTTTGCCTTCTTGTGAAGATAGCCTGGCAGCCCATTTGAGACACATTTTGATCATGCTTCAAATTTGGACAATTTGTCACTTAGCTGGGACATAATCAGTCAGAAGGAGCAGCCCCTGGATATTTGGACACAGCAAATCACTGAGGGGCCACAAACTGCCCCTGGGCCAGACCTTTGACATGTCTGACTTAAATTACTGCTAACAAAGTTAATAATAGTTCATTTTATGTTTTTTTTTCCTCAGTTTTAATAATAAAACCCGGAAAAACGTAGAAAGACAGGTTTTCGAGCCACGGGAAGCAGCTGAACACAAGTAACTCTGTCACTAAATGTCATAGTGATATAAGAATTAAACCGAGTTATGTAAACAGCCGTGATCGTATAGTGGTTAGTACTCTGCGTTGTGGCCGCAGCAACCCCGGTTCGAATCCGGGTCACGGCAATTTTACCGACGACTTCAACGAGTGCTTCTTGTGGTTAAGAAAAAAAACTGTAGCTTAAAAACACAATTTATCTAATGGAGCTGCTGATTTTCGACGTATAACGCATTTTTGCCAGAACTGTTTTTCTCGGTTAAGACTTGAGGTCTCGCGTGTTTTCCCCTCTTAAATCTCGTTCATCGAAACAACCCCGGAAGTAAATGGCGGAACTATAATAGAGCCGCCTCACGCTTTTAGCTTCCAGTTTTTGGACATTTATTTGTTTATGTAAGTTTGAACTGCCGCAAGGGCGTAGATGTCTTCAGTAACAACCACCTGGAAAGCTTCGAAGGGACGATGTGGTCGATTTGAGCTGCCCAGCGGGATTGGTGGAGTGAATGGACGGACGAGTAACTGAGGTTCCTGCTCTCTAACTCCACCGGTAACGTTCCTGGCATCCTTTTACTCTCATTTGAGGATTAAACACTGAGGCTAAAGTCATATGTGAAAAATAAGAATATGTGTAATAGATGCAACTGAATACCTGATTGAAGAGTTTAGATGATTTAGAAAACGGTATGCCACCATATTGACAACTTCGGAACAGGTGTTTTTGAATGCGAGAACCATATAAAACTGGTTCATTACACATTTATGAATTTAGATACTGTTATTGATTGGCTTAAAAAGCTTTACTGGTTGTTTTTAAAATTTTATGAATAATTATCTAACAATGTTTTACCCCTATAAGAAGTCAGCTTTGTGCTCTATCACTTATTCAACAAAACGTGTCAGTAAGCTGGTTTGGTAACAAAACTTGAGAAGCAGGTTGTGGTAAATGATTTTGACCAGTATTTAATCTGTCTTCAAAGAATGTCTAATGTCTTTGACAAGTTTTGTTTAGTTAAACCGTCTCTGTAAGGTGAAAATAATTACATTTTAACTGTATGTTCCTCCAGACGCATGGCCCTGCTGATCAGCTAGCTGAAACGAAGATCATGTTTCTGAAAACATCCTTCACCACGCTCATCGTGGGGGTGTTTGTGGTGTATGTGCTCCACACCTGCTGGGTGATGTATGGGATCATCTACACCAAACCCTGCGACAGACCCAGAGGAGACAACTGCATCACACCTTTCCTGGCGGGGAACCCAAAACTACAGGTCAGCATTAGCTGATTGTTTTCATTTCTGCTGTCCTGTGTTGGAGGTTTAGTTCTATTATTTTGTCCTCCCCAGTTGAGTATCTACACATCGCTGCAGTCAAACGCAGAAGGAGGTCACACACTGATTCATAAAGAGGAGAACTTTGATGTCAGCAGCAAGTTTGAGAGGTTTGTACAACAGCCTATTATACTCAGATGTCTTCTAAGCTTATTAATTGACATCCTTTATCGTTTGTTTCCCTGCAGGATTGTCAACGTCTCTCTTCCTAAGAAAACGCGCAACAATGGAACTTTGTACGCTTTAATATTCGTCCATCAGGCTGGTCTGAATCCGTGGCAGGATCCACGACAGGTCCATTCAGTGGTTCAGCTCACCACCTACATGCTCCCAAAGCCCCCGGAAATCTCCCTGATTTCTGGAGAAGATCAAAAGCAGGTACCTGAGCTTAAACAGAAATCTGAATTTTTTTATCTCAGAGGGCACCATCAAAAGTGGAAAAGAGCATTGCACCATCAGCCCCTTGCCCTACTTCCATTACAAGGCCTGGATTCAACACCACTACTTTGTGGGCGTGCGCCTGATGCTGGCTAGCAGAGCTTAAACACATTGTTTTGCTATTATTATCCTCAGTTTATGCAATTTATATATATATATATATATATATATATATATATAAGATAATGCCATAAGAAATGCCGCCACCTCAGACTATCACTTTTTTTGTTTTCAAAACAAATTGTGCATAATTCATGAAAGGAGGAAAAGTCCAGATTGCTGTTTTGAATCTAAAAAAAATACAAGAAACCACACAGGCTATCAGCGGGTCCTTAAAAAGTCTTAAATTTACTTTTCCAAATTTAAGGCCTTGAAAATCCTTAAAAATGACAAATCTTCCTTAAATACTGTTTCCAAAGGTCTTAAATTACCAAAGACCCAATAAACTAGATTATTTTATTTCTATGACATTTTCGTGAATTTCTAGTTAGTCTTCAGCATTTTTTGTGTACGATGTTGACGTAAGCGGAACCGTACACATTCAGTTGGTTGTGAAAGGGGACTATTTTTAGATGAGCACATTAGCTGGTTAAGCTAGTGGGAGCTTGCGCCATGGAGAAGTGCAAGTTTAATGGTAAATGGATGGATAATCCCACGTTCGCGACGTGGTTAGCACCAGTTCCAGGCAATAGCTGGAAATAATAGCTTAAATTTAATTTAAAAAATAGCTTGAATTTGGATCTGGATCGGAAGGAGTCAGTTGAGGTGGTTTGGGCATCTGGTCAGGATGCCTTCGGGCATGTCCTGCTGGCATGAGGCCCCCGGGTCGACCCAGGACACGTTGGAGAGGTTGCATCTCCAATCTGGTCCGGGAACGCCTTGGGGTCCTGCCGGAGGAGCTGGTGGAGGTGGCCGGGGAGAGCACGGTCTGGTGCTCCCTAGTTGGGATGCTGCCCCCGCGACCCAGACCCAGATAAGCGGAGGAAGACGACAACGAGCTTAAATTTGGTCAAAGTGGCCTTAAAAAGGTCTTAAAAAGTCTTAAATTTGGCTCCCTTAAACCTGCAGATACCCTGCCACAACTTTGTTTTCAATATTTCCTTATTTATGCTTTACACAACTTCAGACTAGTGACCGGTGTTTTTTGTACCTTCCAACAAACGTCAGTCATGCAGAAAAGTGTTTTGGACTAAAACAGGATTAGATCATAACTCTCGTAACTTTTTTATAAGAAAACATCTCAAAATGGAAAAACAGTCCCTGTGAGCCAAAAGGCTTTTGGGCGTTAAAAAAAAAAAAGAACCAATGTGCAAACATGCAGTAAATCCAATATGAACTAATCATTAACAAATGAAACGAATGCTGAATGAAACTTGGTTTGCTGGTTCTGTGCCAAAGCAAACGCCAAAGTTCATAAAATTTGGTGTATTTTCTTAACGTAACTCACAAAAGTCCAGATAAGAGAACAAAGAAAAAACATGATGACTACATATCTACCTTTTTGTTTTTCTGATTTGTCTGTTTTGGTTTTACCGCTAAACCCTCATCATTTGTGTGACGCAGGGTCAGAAACGGGAAGAACAGAAGAAGAAACAACGTGACGGTAACCTAGCAACAGGAGCCGGAGCTAAAGCTGGCGCTGCGTCGTCGCCAGATCACCCGGTTTCCCACTGGCGCTCCCGTCTCACGCTAAACATCGTCAGTGACCACTTCCTGTTCGACAGAGAGTACCTCCCAAGTGACGTTCACAGATACCTCCGAGTGTAAGACTCGATCCCAATATTCTGTAGCTGCACCGGGCAAACCACTGATAGGTTAGACGAAAAAAACAATTAGTTGTGTTTTTAGATTCCAGAATGGGAAAAAGATGGTGTATCTACCTCTGCTGTTTGTTGATGAGCTCAGTAACAGGGTCAAGGACCTGGTGGTGAGTTTTAAACCTTTAACTATGCTCTTCATTATTCACTTTATTTTCTTCCTGAACCTCGTTAGAAGAAAGAATAAAGAAGCACATCACCAGTTGTTTATGTCTGATGGTAGGAAATCAACGGTACCTCCACGGAGCTGCCCCTGACCATCTGCTACGACTCCATCTCTCTGGGCAGGCTTCGATTCTGGATCCACATGCAGGACGCCGTGTACTCCCTGCAGCAGTTTGGTAGGTTGATCCCTCTGTAACCCTGCACACATGCACACAAATCCCTTTAACGTGTTTGTTTTTTGGATCGCAGGTTTCACAGAAAAGGATGCAGACGAGATTAAAGGCATCTTTGTGGATACCAACCTATACTTTCTGGCTCTGACCTTCTTTGTCGCTGCCTTTCATGTAAGTTTGAGAGCACAAAGCTGGTTTAGTTTTTGTTTGTTGGTTGCAAACCCTTTTATATAACAAGGATTTGTTTTTGTCCACACACTGAAAGAATGTCACTAAAAAGACCTTAATGGACCTGCGTCAAACGGCCCATGGGCCAGATGTGTAGCAACAGCAAACAGAAAAATGGGAAAACTTTTAATCTGGAATGGTTACAAATTCTATCTTTTGTTAAATAGGGACTGTAGTGATGCAGACTTTCATTTGTACTGATAATTTTCTTTGTCACTTTTTTTTTTAGCTTCTATTCGACTTCCTTGCTTTCAAGAATGACATCAGCTTCTGGAAGCAGAAGAAAAGCATGGTGGGAATGTCCAGCAAAGCAGGTAAGTGATTTATTTTTTTACTTTTGTGATTAAAAGTAAAACAAAGGAGATGCACGGATGCTAATTTCATAGTTTCCTTGCTGTTAACCTGTAAGAAAACTGAAAAATGTGTAAAATGAGTAACTTGACAGAACGAGGCTTCATCTGTGCATTTGGGCATAAAGTGACTCGGTAAAGAAGGACTGCTGGGTGCATTTCGTATCCTTCTGCTCACCTGAATGATTTCAGAGTAAAAGAGGGTTTTGTGGTTTTTGCAGTTTAATGTTTTACCTACCAACAATAAGAAAGTATAACCCCTTCTTTACACTGGATGCAAAAGTGGCGTGTAACGAAATGGAGGCGTTTTACCTGCAAGCTTCCTTTCAACCAGGGGCAAAAGTGTTCCGCACTGTTGTTCCCGTGAAGTCAAGAAATCACGGGAGAACTGCAACACCATGCGTGATTTCAGAAGTTAAAAGCATGAAGAAAGATGACTCTGCATGTGTCCAAATAGGTCTGTGTGACATTGGTTTATTTGCACGTGACTTTTATTTTGAAAGTTTCTGAATGTTTTACACAACTTTTTTGTTTGACTTCCTGTCTGACCTGAACTAAACTGCAGAGTTTGACGTGTTTTGGAAGCCTAGTGTGTAAAAAAATAAAAAAAGACTCGAAACGTAATGATGGCTACTCCTTACTTCGTCCAAAACGTTAGACTTCGCGACCGGTGGAACGAAACTCGTCTACTCTAACGGCAGCTAACTGCCACGTGGTACGTTTCGTAGCCGTTTTGCGGCATTTCACATCCAGTGGAAACAAGGGGTTAATATCTGAGAGATAGTAACACTTGTTACTGTCCTTTTTCCTTCTGATTCTTTAACAGCCTAAATTATTGGTTTTGTTTTTTCCGTCAGTGCTGTGGAGATGTTTCAGCACCATCGTGATTTTCCTCTATTTGTTCGACGAGCAGACGAGCCTCCTCGTGCTCGTGCCTGCCGGGATTGGATCAATCATTGAAGTAAGTTGCACGAAAATGAGCGTACAGGGCTCCTAGAACTCAAAAGCAGATTCACCACGTTTCTATAAGCAGCTTGCGATGTCAAACGTACCAAAAGTCTGTGCCGTCACCGACCTGCTTTCCTATGGAAGTTAGTAATGTTGTAATGGCCACGGAGAAAGGGTTTGTTGTGATCAACATGTCATAAACATGGACACACACACCCTCAAATCTGCATCTGTAGTGTTTGTCGCGGTACCATTAACTGCACAACAATGCTAACCCAAGCTACTGCTAATGTTGGATGAGAGTAAAACAACAAAGAAGGATATTGGAGCCTACATGTAACGTTCCAGGATGTACTGGGAATATCCAGACTATGAATGATTGCTAGATATTTCCACAGCTCGCCTATTGAGGAATCAAGATACCTCGGCTGTGCCATCGGGTGTAAACTTGCCAATAAACACACAGCTCATTTAATATTCATATCTTAGCTGAGTGGGCGGGGCAAACAAGTCTTTCAACTGGGCTTTATTACGGGCTCCTGGGGCGTTGTGAGCCCTAAAGTTTCTTTTGTTATATAAATGCTCAAAAAACTGTTTGAATCCTTAAGTTTTAAATCTACAAATAATCTTCTGCATAAAGAGATCATGTTTATGAAGTCTGTTTTAATGTGCTGATGTAATTCATGCAGGTATGGAAAGTTAAAAAGGCCTTTAAAATCCATGTTTTCTGGAAAGGAGGCAGACCAACATTCCTGGTAGGTGGGAAGCTGCCTCAGTTGATGTTCAGAAAAGTGCACCAAAAATGTAGTCCAGATGTTTTCTTCAGATACTGTTCAAAGATGTTGTGACTTCTACCTTGACGCAAGGTTGGATTTAAAAGTAAACAATAAAAATGGCTCAGATCCTTTGAAATAATGAAATGGAAATGGTGAATTTGGCAAGGACTTGTTAGGAAATTCTACAGGGAGTGCAGAATTATTAGGCAAGTTGTATTTTTGAGGAATAATTTTATTATTGAACAACCATGTTCTCAATGACCCCAAACAACTCATTAATATCAAAGCTGAATATTTTTGGAAGTGGTTTTTAGTTTGAGCTATTTTAGGGGATATCTGTGTGTGCAGGTGACTATTACTGTGTATAATTATTAGGCAACTTAACAAAAAACAAATATATACCCATTTCAATTATTTATTTTTACCAGTGAAACCAATATAGCATCTCCACATACCCAAATATACATTTCTGACATTCAAAAACAATACAAAAACAAATCAGCGACCAATATAGCCACCTTTCTTTGCAAGGACACTCAAAAGCCTGCCATCCATGGATTCTGTCAGTGTTTTGATCTGTTCACCATCAACATTGCGTGCAGCAGCAACCACAGCCTCCCAGACGGTTCAGAGAGGTGTACCGTTTTCCCTGTTTGTAAATCTCACATTTGATGATGGACCACAGGTTCTCAATGGGGTTCAGATCAGGTGAACGAGGAGGCCATTTCATTAGTTTTTCTTCTTTTATACCCTTTCTTGCCAGCCACGCTGTGGAGTACTTGGACGCGTGTGATGGAGCATTGTCCTGCATGAAAATCATGTTTTTCTTGAAGGATGCAGACTTCTTCCTGTACCACTGCTTGAAGATGGTGTCTTCCAGAAACTGGCAGTAGGACTGGGAGTTGAGCTTGACTCCATCCTCAACCCGAAAAGGCCCCACAAGCTCATCTTTGATGATGCCAGCCCAAACCAGTACTCCACCTCCACCTTGCTGGCGTCTGAGTCGGACTGGAGCTCTCTGCCCTTTACCGATCCAGCCACGGGCCCATCCATCTGGCCCATCAAGACTCACTCTCATTTCATCAGTCCATAAAACCTTAGAAAATCAGTCTTGAGATATTTCTTGGCCCAGTCTTGACATTTCAGCTTGTGTGTCTTGTTCAGTGGTGGTCGTCTTTCAGCCTTTCTTACCTTGGCCATGTCTCTGAATATTGCACACCTTGTGCTTTTGGGCACTCCAGTGATGTTGCAGCTCTGAAATATGGCCAAACTGGTGGCAAGTGGCATCTTGGCAGCTGCACGCTTGACTTTTCTCAGTTCATGGGCAGTTATTTTGCGCCTTGGTTTGTCCACACGCTTCTTGCGACCCTGTTGACTATTTTGAATGAAACGCTTGATTGTTCGATGATCATGCTTCTGAAGCTTTGCAGTTTTAAGACTGCTGCATCCCTCTGCAAGATATCTCACTATTTTTGACCTTTCTGAGCCTGTCGAGTCCTTCTTTTGACCCATTTTGCCAAAGGAAACGAAGTTGCCCAATAATTATGCACACCTGATATAGGGTGTTGATGTCATTAGACCACACCCCTTCTCATTAGAGATGCACATCACCTAATATGCTTAATTGGTAGTAGGCTTTCGAGCCTGTACAGCTTGGAGTAAGACAACATGCATGAAGAGGATGATGTGGACAAAATACTCATTTGCCTAATAATTCTGCACTCCCTGTAGTTGTGAATGTTTTAGGCTTTTCTCGATTTTTAGAGTTTTTTTAGGACAGCAATATATGTCAAAGCTATTTTACCTTCATGTAATTTTCTGCCATGTAAGCAGAAAAAATTCCTATGAAGTATGAAGCATTGGACAGTAGACGTTAAATGAATTGCCAGGTTCCGTTTCTGAGATTAACTGTTGCATTAAGTCACTATCAGATTAATTTACCTAAATCACGGGTTAGTAAAACATTCAGTTTTGATATAGTTTTGTCGCTGTAAGAAGGAATAAAATACTTCTTTGATCCAGTTTGGTAAATTGGATGAGTCAGAGAGGAGAACAGAAGAATACGACACTCTGGTAAGAAATAGCAGACACACACATGCATGATCCAATATGAGTTTTTAGGTAAATTATAATATTTTTCATGTCCTTTCATCAGGCAATGAAGTATCTCTCATACCTCTTGTACCCTTTGTGCATTGGAGGGGCAGTTTATGCTCTGGTTTTCCTACGATACAAGAGGTAGGAGTGGAAGGGGACAAATAAAATGAATACAAACTTTGTCTCAGTCGTAAGGGATCTTAAGTGCTTGTTTTTCCTGTTTTTAGTTGGTACTCATGGTTGATTAACAGTCTGGTGAATGGTAAGCTACTTTTTCTCTGAACAAAGATTAAATTGGTTAATAAACTGGTTTTTGTCCAATTTTTTTGTGTTAATCAATCATAATTTATATAATTTGTCTACACTAAATCATCTTTTATTGTGAAATTGCAGGTGTATACGCGTTTGGTTTCCTCTTCATGCTTCCTCAATTATTTGTCAACTATAAGGTCAGTTTTCCTTCAGCCTTTAAGAGTTTTCTCAGCAGTGTTTTTTTCTCCAATTTACACAAACGTCCTCCTTAACTGTTCTATTTATTCCAAAGCTGAAGTCTGTGGCCCACCTGCCCTGGAAGGCTTTTATGTACAAGGTAGGAACCAATTTGGTTTGATTTTATTATGTGATTATAGAATATTTTGCAGTTAACATATTAGGGCTGTAACGAAGCCTCGATGACGTCGACGGCTCGATTCTAAAAATTCGTCAACGTCAGATCCGGTAGTCGACGCACCACGCCCACTTGTTGCATCCCCAGGAGTTTGTAAATAGAGGAGGAATCTGCCTGTTTTTTCTCTAGTTCGCCCTCTTCTCCGCCTTCACTAACATCTCTGCCAAATACCGAAGAACCGGAACAATGTCCGTCGGCTACTAGATTCCTTTCCTGTTTTGCCCGCCTTCGTCTCCCGGCAACGGACAACAACTTCCGGGGTCAGATGCGCTGCTCCGTCTCTATCGCAGATGTAAAAAATCACCGGGAGCGCTTCTCCCTTCATAAAGGAGCTTCTTTCAGACATGAGGAGAGCCGTTTTTGTGGTAGCAGCCTCTCCCCGGTGCTGGTCTGTTTGCTGCTGGGTATCATTGGTTTATTTAAACGTGGTAACTTGAACTTAACATTGGTAAAGCTACTGTTAGCATTTTCGCTAACAGCTTCTTGCGTTTGGATAAGCTGTTACGTTTTGGTTTGGAGTTCATCTTTTTTGTGGTGTAGATCTCCCTTTATTACATTTAGAGTGTTGTGGGTTTTCGGTTTAGTTTAAAATATCACCTTGAGTTTGGTTTAACCACCCAGTTTAGAGTTTGGACCTTTGGAGATCCTTATTTTGGTCCAGAACCCTGTAATCTTTGCCCAGTGGGACATCCCTACTTATTTGTACTTTTGTTTTAATTCCCCACAGGCAGAATTAGTTTTATTATTCCAAACCTGTGGATGGAAAGATTTATGTATTTAGTTATTGTAAATAAACCTGATCATCATTTTAACTTTTAAATCCCGTTATTGTCCCTTCCTTTCTGCACACGAGCCAAACTCCCCAGGAAGAGTCGTAACACCACTCGCCTCACGCACATAAGTGACCAAAACAAAGCAGCATGGAGACACTCCGTCTCCAACCACCTCTCAGGCCGCAGCCTGCACTCCCAAGTTCTACACGTCACCAGAACATAACCGACTCCAACACAATAAAAGCAGTATTATACAAAATGGAAGGCCTGTAGTGTTTATTCTCCTACAGTAACAACTTATCAATTTTTTTGAATGAATTTATTAGATTTTTTGGTTATTAACTGTGCAATAGAAAAATAATCATTAGATTAACTGTCTAAATAGTCATTAGAATAGTCGAATATTGGATAAAATAATCGTCAGAATAATCGTTTACCCCCAGCCCTTAAACGTATACATTTAATGTGTGGTTTATTTTTATGCATTTTTTAAAAACCTATTTGCTACAAAGTCTTTGTTTTTGGTTTGGAAAACAATAATTGACCTTTATCGTTTCAGGCTTTCAACACCTTCATTGATGATGTGTTTGCCTTCATCATCACCATGCCAACCTCTCACAGACTGGCCTGTTTCAGAGATGATGTGGTTTTCCTTATTTACCTTTACCAGAGATGGTACAAACACACACATACACACACCACCCTAAATCACAAAGTGTTCCAATCTGAAAGGTTATTTTTCCTTCCTCTCTTCAGGCTCTACCCGGTGGACAGAACTCGAGTAAACGAATATGGAATTTCATACGACGAGAAACCCAAAGGGAAGCCTCACAAAGAGTAAAAGATCTGACGTCTGTTATCTGGTACTGAGACTTTGCTGACCTCTAGCGGCGAATTATGGAAGCGACCGAATATCCTCATATCACCCTCCTCTTTACCATGGCTGCTAAAAACTGGAAAATGATGGAAAGCCCTTCCACACAGCCAGTGTTTTGGTGTGTCCATTCAGGGCTTCTGTAGAAACATGATGGACTTTATGGATGAAGAAGTATGTGGTCTGTAGATGGTTGTTTAAGACACAAAAAACTATTTTGTTGTGTTTTTATGCTTTTCTGTTCTAATACAGGTATGAATAATATTTTTCAACTTTGATCAAACATGTCCCGATGACACTTTAACTGACACCAACAGAGCTGAATCTAATGGTCCAGAGTCGGAAATGACATTCCTGTTTTCACCATTCCTGAAGTGCAACATTTCCAGAGGTCGACTTCTGCTTATTTAGCCTTTGTGCAGCGATGAACATTGTTGTTTTCCATACATAATGGGACTCAATAATCTGACAAACAACCAAGAAAACAAAAATTTGAGAACATTATAGCTTCTCTAATCCCTTCACGCCATAGGAATATGAATAACTCAACATGCTGTAACTTCCGCGAATGCTGTCTAATTATAATTCCTAAAAAGGGTTTTTCTTAATTTAAACAATGTTTACTATCATAGATTCCAGTTAACTGATGTTGAAGTCATACATCTAAAATGACAACACTTTACCTTGGGAACATATTAAAATGACTCATAAAAGTGAAATTTATAAACATAAATAATTTGTGTACGGTATATTAGGAACAATGTCCTGCAGATGGCAGTCAAAGATCCAGTAATGTCTGTATAAGCTAAAAAATAAATTAATCTTTTTTTTTTTTACCATGGAGAATATTAAAATTGATTGACTGTTTCAGAATAACGTAGAAAGTTTCAGCAAAGGGCGAAGTTGAATTTGTGTTTTTCCTACCTTGTATAATAATACTTTTTTTTGCTTCACTGTAAAACACGAAGGCACACTGACAGCTGTTATGTTTGTAATTTAACGCATTTAAGTATTTTTTTTTCCACATCTGGGCCAAGAATATAATGTTAGTGCCAAACATACAAATGATTCTTTGAACTGTTTGTGAGCATTGGAATGTTTTAGGTAGATACCAACTTTTTGAAAGAAACTGTGATGGTAAGATTCAAGGAAAGTATTAAAACCTTTAAACATCACGTTTTGATTTCTTTATCTTTCATTTTATTTTGTTTTTTCTGGATGATCAATGTAATGGAAAATGGTTTATCAACTTTCAGGAATTTATGCTGAGAGAACCAGTTAAAAATAGGTTCTGAGCTATGGAACAGATTTGCCAGGCTTTGTCTTGAATTGCTTGAAATTATTGTTTAAATTTTTGATTTGAATAAAAAATGAGTTAAACATGCATTTATAACTGGCATTTCTTCCCCTAATATCACTAATAGTAAAATATCTAGGTGATTCTTATATTATAGTCCATTTGCACATGTGTTTTTAGTGACTTTGGCACACATTTTATTAGAGATGCACAATACATCTAGCCTGGCATGCCATACGATGTGTGAATATATAGTCTGGTAACGACCCATGGGCATCTTGGTGGTGGGCGGGATTTATGGTTCTCTTTCAAACTGTCTCTGGATACTATTGGACAATGAGCAACATGACATGCTCACTGCTACAGATGTTAGTCAATGGGGACGTCAGTCAAATCCTCGTCAAAGAAGACGCAAATACATGTGCATGTACATCCTTTTTCTAAATAAAGGACTTGAGTACCCCTATCTGCTCTTGACTTAAAGAAAAGCGCAAGTCTAAGGCCCAATCCCAATACTAGCACTTCCATCCTTAAGCCCTTCGATTGTGCGATCCTGACCATGGGTATGATTGCGTAGGGTGTCCCGATTCTCAAGTGCAGAAGTTGATCACCCCCTTTTGTGCCCTTGATTCGCACTACAGTGTATTACCCACAATCCACTGCTGCGGGAGAATAGGCTCAAGTGCCTTTTTTGAACATATGTATTTTCTAATGAAAGCAGTTCATTTTAGGACAATTAGTTGATGCTCTAAAACTTTTAGGCAAAGCAGCAACGAATGTAAATTTTTTTCAAATAATTGTATGAAAGTTGTTAACTAAGTTTTTTTTAAGTATCACAGTGACCAGCATCCCAGCATGCATTGCAATCGATGACGCAATGCTCCCCGTCTCAATTTGGCAATTATTTGCACACTTGTGTACCACACACTCGAAGCCTTACTGTGCACTTTCTCCAAAGTGCAGTGCGAGTATTGGGATTGGGCCTAAATAGTTCAAAGTTTATACCAAAGCTGTTTTAAACAAGCCACCGCCATCTTAGTTCAACTCGGTTGTATCATCCCACCCACCAAACTAATAGTGCTGTGATTGGAATAACATAAAACTGCTGAGGCTCCTATGGGGTGTGGCTAGACCGTCCTGCCGAATACATTTGTTTTGCTCCTACCAATATCTTTCTAGATTCCTAAACTACAATTTATCGGTAACAGCATCTAAATCGGTACGTTTGTCATTTTATTACCTTCCTGTATTGATCCGATAAGTAAAACTGGGCCCATAATTAACAACTGATATTTATTTTCCATCTAAGCAGTATTTCTACTATAGGAGTTCCAGGAAATTTCTGGTTGGAGAAAAGTGGCCAGTAGATACTCTGGCTTGGTTCTCTCAGCAGCTGTGTCTCCATACAAAACCATCCCTTTCACGACTTTGCTAAGACAATAGCATATCGCAGCTGCTTCGGCAGTGAGTGTTGTCGCTGATGAGCACCAAAAGGCATTTACATATGCTAATAACATTGAGTTTTATTTAGTCAAAATACACCATAATTTCATCCATTAAGAGGATAGAAAGAGAAGTTGTCTGATGTCAAAAGTGGCGTTCAAGGACCCGATGATGCACCATTTTTAATGGTGCGCTGTGAGACCACAAATCACCGAGCATTGTGAAGAATTTCTGCCACATTTTATCACCGTCGGGAGTTTAGAAACAGCGATTTTAAACCTGGATCAACACTGCTTTTTTTCTTTTCCTTCCATTCCGCTTCACAAGCAACTCCTCTGATTTAACAAATGCTGGTTATTTTGGCGACATTATTTGCTACTGAGCTACAATCAATCAGCATCCCGCTCAGCAACTTTAGCATGCCATTCTGAGTACATACCCCAGGTAAAGGTACTATTGGTTCTTGAATCAAATCAAATCAAACTTTATTTATAAAGCGCTTTTCATAAAGAAAATGTAACTCAAAGTGCTTTACAGATTTAAAAAAAACTCATATCCCACAAATGTCATTGACATTAAAAACAAAACCTCCCCCAACCCAGTGACACACACATACACACACAACATGGTTGAGAACATAAGTAAACGCTGGGCTGAGCTCAAATGAGTCAGGTATGTAAGGAAACGGCATCAGGGGAGCCATCCGCCCCAATAGTAGCACAACCATGGCAGCAGGCAGGGCACCGATACAGGGCGTCCAGAGGAGGGAGGGCGAGGGCCCCACCTACACCCAAGCACTACCTGGAGAGCATCGAGGCCGCTGCCACCGACCACCGGCCCTGAGGAAGAGGGCTCCCACAGAGTAAACACTGTAAAGTATTCGAATAAGTAAGAGAATAAAATAACAAGAGGTAATATGAAAATATATAAATGGCGGTCAGTACAATTGTAAAAATAGTAAAACAATAAAAAACAGATATATAATTCTATTCAATTCAAAAATACTTTATTAATCCCAGAGGGAAATTGATTGCTGTAGTAGCTCAGAATAATAATAATAATCAAGTCGTCAAAGAGTTGTTGTATATTACAATGGCTGTTGGCAGGAAGGATCTCCAGTAGTGGTCAGTGTTGCAGTGAAACTGAAGAAGCCTCTGACTGAAGACACTCTTCCGTTGTCGGAAAAGTCTTGTGAAGAGATTGCTCAGGGTTCTAAAATGGCCTATAATGCCCAAAGTAAAAGAAATGCAATTTAAAATTCTTAACAACTACTATCCATCAGCAGAGACACTGAGGAAGGGATTTGGTTTTGAAGTTGACCCTTGTGAATTCTGTCAAGAAAGCCCTGAAGGAACAGAACACTTATTTTTCAGCTGTCCTGTCAGTAAGAGGTTTTGGGAAAAAGTCCATTGTTGGCTAAGAAATAAAATAAGAGAACTTGATCATTTTACAAATGAAGATATTCTAATTTACAATTCTAAATTAAATGGGAATAATTCATTGTTAATTACATTATTATTATTATGGGTAAATACCACATCCACAAAAGCAAATGGAAAAAACAAATGCCAAACATGAACTGTTTCACAAATGAATTCCGTATGTTCTTATCCCCTTTGACTCGTAAAAAAAATTCAAATGCAACTGCAAAAGCCATTTGTCATGCTGCAGAAAAATGTTTAATCTTGAAACAATGTTTTTACTTTATGATATAAGTGCCTCTTTTTTAAGTTTCTTATTTGTTTTTCTTTTATTGTTACTAAGGATGCCTTGTATGTTTCCATTATGTGTTGTTGTCTCACGAGAAATTGTAATAAGCATTTAATGATGATAATAATAAAAATAAAAAATAAAAAAAAGCTGTCCGAAGTAAGATGGCCGTCGCGTACGGACGTCAGGGTCCAGAACGACCAGCGCGGCGAGGGATCTAGTTAACATATGATATCTATGGGAAAATGGACCTGACGGTTTGTACGTATAAACGTCACAGCCACGCTTCTTACGCACGTATATATCCCAAAGTCCCGCCCCTTCATCTTCCTTTTCCGCTGTGGGAACGTAAACGTGCCTGAAGTGCTTGGTTCTTCATCTGAAGCTAAGGTCCTCAATCCGGCGACTAGCACAGTCAAATTTAGGCATCCGACGCTACTACCACCACCTTTGATATCTACAATGGCCTCCGTATCTGAGCTCGCCTGCATTTACTCCGCTCTGATCCTCCACGATGATGAAGTCACCGTCACCGTGAGTGTCCCGGTTACTCACGACTGCCGTTGCGCAAATTGGAAATAACACAAGAGGGTGTTGACGCAATAAAATACTCATTAGATAGTTCGTGTTAGCATATTAAGGCGAGCTGTAAATTTCAGTTATACTATTTATCAGCCGGTGTTTACCGGTTAAAAATGGCGGAATGGCTAACTAGGCCCTGTCAAGCTGCTGTACAGTTAAGCGATGATCAAAAGCGAATTTCATGTATTAATTTGGCAGTGAGGTTCAACTACTTACTGTTTTATATACGACCTCACTAGTTTTTACAATTAACAGTTGATGTCCCACATCATTACATTGCTTTAGTGAGTATCACTTTTAAAACTACTGATATAGTGGCTTGGCATGTTTTCTGGATGTTACGTTGCTCCTATCACCTTTTGGTAGCACTTAAGCCCTGATAAATCTGATAGGTTGTAAAACTAACATGTGAGCCATAATGCACATTAGAAGCAACTTTCAACTCCTTGAACAAGTAACTAAAAGCACTCTGGTGTATTAATAAATTAACCCTTTGATGCATAATGGTCACTACAGTGGACGGGTACTCAAAATTGTTATTATTTGTTTTTGCTATTAAGCACAGCTGTTGAAGACTTTATTGCATTTGAGCCCCTCCATTTGGACTTCAGTAAGCCAAGCCAACATATTTCATGCTCAGAATGCACGCTGTCCACTGAGGTGGACATGTAATAAATTATTTGTAAATTATAAAATTTTACAAAAAAATATTTGTTGAAATTTGTTTCATTCACACCTAAAGATGAATGAAAAAAATTGTTAAAAAAATCATGGTTGAAGATTTCATAATTCATGCATCAGAGGGTTAAGGCTGTCAGTTTTGTTTTGACAGTTATTTTCCCTTTAGCAGTACGTGTGCTGAAAAGGAAAAACACATTTTCAAATTGTGTGACTCTGTGCTCACAGGAGGACAAGCTGAATGCCCTGATCAAGGCTGCTGGAGTCACTGTGGAGCCTTTCTGGCCAAGTCTGTTTGCCAAGGTGAGAATGTGCTTGACACATGCAACTTCTTGACCATATGATGGAAATGTGACCCTCAAAAGACGTGTGCATTAACAGGGTTTTTCCTGCGTTCAAATTAGTGGCCGCTTCAAACTAATTTTGTGCCGCCCCAGCCTGATTTCACTTTGCCCCCTTGCTATATGGATGTTTTTTTAATAATAATAGTAATGCATTGAACTTATATAGCGCTTTTCAGGACACTCAAAGACGCTTTCACACACACACATTCACACACTGCTAGTGATTGTAAGCTACTTTATAGCCACAGCCGCCCTGGGGAGGTCTGACAGAGGCAAGGCTGCCATTTGGCTCCGTCGGCCTCTGACGACCACCAACACAGGCAAGTTGGGTGAAGTGTCTTGCCCAAGGACACAACAGCAGAATACCCCTGGCAGGAGCTGGAATCGAACCCATGACCCTCCGATCTTGAGGCAACTTGCTGTACCACCTGAGCTACTGCTGCCCCCATTTTAACTGCAGTTGCAGCGTTGCGCCACTACAGGGGCGCTGTATCAGCAGCGGTGCACCGAAAAGCACTAAAACCACTGCAGAAAAGGATCAAAAATTGCTTCTCTTGCTACTTGGTAAATGGCCTGTATTTGATATAGCGCCTTCTAGAGTCCTGGAACCCCCCAAGGCGCTTTACAACACAATCAGTCATTCACACACACATTCACACACTGGTGGGGATGAGCTACAATAATAATAATGCATTGAACTTATATAGCGCTTTTCTAGACATCCAAAGACGCTTTCACACACTCTCACATTCACACACTGCTAGTGATGGTAAGCTACTTGTAGCCACAGCCGTCCTGGGGAGGTCTGACAGAGGCTAGGCTGCCGTTTGGCGCCGTCGGCCCCTCTGACCACCACTAACACAGGCAAGTTGGGTGGGTGAAGTGTCTTGCCCAAGGACACAACAGCAGGATACCCCTGGCGGGAGCTGGAATCAAACCCATGACCCTCCGATCATGAGGCAACCCGCTCTACCACCTGAGCTACTGCTGCCCCAATGTAGCCACAGCTGCCCTGGGGCGCACTGACAGAGGCGAGGCTGCCGAGCACTGGCGCCACCGGTCCCTCCGACCACCACCAGCAGGCAACGTGGGTTAATTGTCTTGCCCAAGAACACAACGACAGCGACAGACTGAGCGGGGCTTGAACCTGCAACCTTCCGATTGCGGGGCGAGCACTTAACTCCTGTGCCTCGTCGCCCCATATCTATGTTTGGTGCTATTGACATCCTGATTTTCCCCCAGGCTCTTCCATATCAGAGCAGGGCAGAAAAATATATGATGATCGTAAAACTAAGAAAGGCTAAACTCTACAAGCGGATGAAAAGTCCCCACCATCCTGTTCATTCTGCATCCTGCAGCGCTACGGATCAGAACCGCTGCAGAAACGAGTCACATTACTGCTACAAGTCTGCTCCACACACTGGAGCAGGAAGTACGGCAAGCCGTTGTGTATTGTTCACAAACGCTTCTATCTTTCAACATAATTTAAACTGGATTATTGCAAACCCGTACATAAGAAATGCCACCATTACATTGTTAGCAGCAGAAATTAAATGTTATTACCATTTCCAATACAAATGCATGTTAATGAAATGCATTATAGTTTACTGAATATATTTGTGTTATTTTGACTAAGATGAGTGTTATTCATACAAACCTAAAATATTATCTTAATGTAGGTCAAATATTTCTAAATCTTATTTACTATAAATATCAGATAGAAAAAAGAACTAAACACCAATCTAATGCTTGTTATTGAGCCTTTTATAATAAGATTCTGTTAGTTCAGCCTGATAATTTTGTTTTATTTCATATTTTTAGTAGCAAACCAGTTTTGTTTCACTTGAAACGTTGTCAAATGGAATATTCAGTTATCAACAGAAGCTTAAATTAGAACACCTAATGAAAAACTATTTTGCCTTTAAAAAGGTGAGGCAGTTGAATGCACCGAGTATGCATGTGCTGGCGCATGGTCAGGATGGTACCACCTCTGCCTCAGTTTGAGCCAGGAAAACCCTTAACTAGAAGTGGGTCATGGGAGAAATCTTGCTTTTAGTCTGTAGCCGAAATTTTCACTGTTCCTGTGTGGCAAAAACCTCGTCACCAGCACTCTAGATTGTGGGTCAGTTTAACATTTAAATGAACAGAGGGGTCATTTATCATCCTAAAGTCGATTGCAGGCTTGCTCAGTGACACATACAGTAGTATAGTTCTGTTTGTTTGGATTTGTGCATCTTTCTACCAGAATAAGCATTTTATTAACCACTATGCTGTTTTTCTGAAGGCCCTTTCCAGCATCGATGTCGGCAGTCTGATCTGCAACGTTGGTGCCGGAGGTGGAGCTCCAGCTGGTGCCCCTGCTGCCGGTGCTCCTGCAACTGGTGGAGATGCACCAGGTAACTGGACAAGGACTGTAAAACATTACCTCTTTCTGTTGTGGTGAAAGAGCTTTTTAAATGTTAATACTTTTTACTTCTGCAGCTAAAGAAGAAGAGAAGAAGAAAGAGGAAAAGAAGGAAGAGTCTGAGGAGTCCGACGATGACATGGGCTTTGGTCTCTTTGATTAAAACTGTTTTTCTAAGAAAACCAAATAAAAATACAAAAATTGACCGGTTCTTGTACTATATGCATGAACATTTCACACAGGCGCACAGTTAGGGTGGGGGACGGAATCTGTCCCCCCTACATTTAGATCGACCCCTATCTGTCCCCAACTCGAGAGGCGCCAACGTGGTTGCTGCTAGGATGCAGGATGAAGCGACAAAGGCAAACAACGATATCGGCCATGTTACTTGGTATATTTTATTCTATTTTTAATCTTATTCATGTTATATGTAGCACATTAGTACCGAAGCAAGTTCCTAGTTTGTGAATTGTTTGCTCACTGACAAAGGCAATAAACCTATTCTGATTCTGATAATCATAAAAAAAGGTAAAATATAAAATTTTAAAAGAGCTTTATATATTTATGTATAAATTAAAACTTTCCAATTATAATGAAAATTTCTAAATAATGTAAAAATATGAAGGAACATCTGTTGGTCAGGCTGAAAAGTTTGGGAACCACTGCTCTTAAGTGATTCCTAGTTTCGATTCCTAGAATGCCAACCGGAAGAGGAATCCGCGGCCGATCTCTGTGAAAAATGAACGTGATCTGCAAATTACGATTAACACTTTTCAGAGCTGATGACACCAGCTGTCTGTGTGCTGCCTGCACGAGTCCCCCCACAGGTCTGTCGAACTTTTACTGTGACGTAAACTTTAACTCCTGCAGCGTAGAGGAAACTTGTTAAGACGTCAACACGGTGGATTTAATAGAAGCTCTGAAGAACAAACGGGACGGTGTGAGGTGAGTTTGTCTCACTGCAGAAATAAAAACACGGAGCATCAGCAGTTAGATGCAGCCGCTCACCAACTCGTGTGTGTGTGTGTGTGTGTGTGAGAGAGAGAGCGTGAGCATCAGAAGGCTGAACAATAACCTGTAGAATAATTAGTCATCAGGCTAGAGAAGCTTCTCTGTGGTGGACCACACCAGCTTCTGCCACAGTAAATAATTATAATAATAATAAATCACACACAAAGTTGTGAACATTTTAATTTCCTTTCTGAACTATTTCTGTTGAGTTTTATTATTTAAAATCTGTTAGATTGTTACTGACAGCAGCTACATTTAAGTTTCACTTTCTGTTCTGACTGAATGTTGCTGCAGCATGGAGGTGTAGTTCTCAGTCATCCTGGACATGATCATCCTGAGAGTTTTAGCTGGAAACAGCTGGACGTTTCTGGATATGTTGGAGACATTTAGCCTCTCATCCCAGAGGCTTCTTCCAGACTTTGGTTGTGGTCAGAAACAAACACACTGGTTGTGCTGCAAGTCTTTTTCTTTTTTTCTACAAAACATGTTTTTGTCTAAATGAAGGTGATGTTGTTGTTCATAGAATTAAAATTCATGTTGAAGTTAAGATTTCGTCAAGTAGGACCTCTGGTTAGCTGACTCATGCAAAACATTTCGTGTCTTGAAAGAATCGGAATCGGGAATTGATAGGAACTGGAATCGAAACGAGGAATTGGAATCGTTCAAAATCAAACGATGACCAACCCTATAAGTGAATATTGTTTTTAAATATATTTTATGTGCAGTTTTTTTTAGGGCTTTTATGTTTTCTGTAAAGATTGGTATGCTGAAAATCATTTAATGTTTTGCATAAAGCATGAGGTTTTGGTTAGTAATTGATTGGGAGAATAACAAATGACTGACTTGGATAGTGTTGATCAGGCAGAGCTTTGTTGCCAGTGTTCTATTGCACAATGGCTTCAAACACGTACATAATAGTGTTACCCCGGCTTTCCACAGCAGCCGTCAGCAGCACGTTACTGCAGCAGCACGTCATAGCTGCTGATAGGAACCGCTGTGGTCAACAGAACCTTTTCCACTGGAGCCGTCGGCAGCCGTCAGCAGCGCGAGTCGGCCGCGTCTCAGGAGCAGCATGTTGCGGCCTTTACGCACGACGCCTCTGAAACGGGTCAAGTTCGACATTTTGGGGGAAGGAAAGACAGGAATTCGGACGCGGAAATGGAGAGAAGCTCCCGAGATTTTCAGAATAAAGAACGTACTGCCTTCCGGTTGCTTTACTTTAAAAAAAGTTACTAACTGTGCAGCCCTGTGAGAAGTTATCACCTAGCTAGCGGTCTCCTTTGTTTTTCAGGTCCGTATTGGCGATTATAAAACGGACAGAACATAAAACACAAACCATGTTGTAGTTTTCTCCTGCTTGTTGTTGTGTTTACTGACGAAGTCACTCGTGTAACTTCGTGCTCTGTCGGTGACAGCTGCTCCCCTGCTGCTTCGCGTCTCGTGGGAAGGGCCGAGCAGCAGCTTACGCGAGCAAGACGTGCTGCTGCAGTAGGAAACCTGGGGTCAGTTTTTACGTAAACCATTGGATGAAATTAAACAAGCTGACTGAGCTCTAGTTAAGGCTCTTGCAATAGTTTGTGTATGTGTACGTGTGTGTGTGTGTGTGTGTATGTTTGGGGGAGGGTACATTGGAACTTTGTCCCCCCCAGTTTGAAAATCCTATCTGTGCCCCTGATTTCACACATTATTTCTCCACATAAATAAGCAGTTAACATCATTATGCTGCATCTTTCTAATGAAGTCACAGTGGATGTGATGTAAGTTTTATTGATGGGAGAGATTAAACATGTATAAATCATGTTCAGTAGACTAGCTTGTAACAGTTTGAAATTCAGTTGGGTTGGTGATGCAATTGGTCTAGCAAAATCTAGACCTGAAATGTTGTATATAAAACATTGATTCATTTTTGCTAATGAACAAAAATCCATTGCTTTTGTAGTAACGTTTTGGTTATAGGTCAATTGTGACTCATTACAAAAGCTATTTAAAAGGGAGGGAATTAAAGCAAGCAATAGTAATTCAAACATGAGTTTACGTGCTTTGAGTATGTCAATTTAACTGAAGATCACACGAAAGATGTGAAACCTCAGCATCAACAGATCATTGAGTTCAAAATTCACTGTTCTAGAGATCAAGTTGGGGGCCAAACAAAATCACTACATGGGCCACAAATGGCCCTCGAACCCTACATTGAATGGGTTTCATTTAAAGGTACTAAAAACCTGTTCGTTTCATCTAATTGATATCCAAATGCCCATTTGTATCAATTTCAGTCACTTAGTCAGAAACCGGAAGTCATCGTTTTCTGCCAATGTCTGGAGAGCCAACATCAACAGTTTCCGTAGTGTAGTGGTTATCACGTTCGCCTCACACGCGAAAGGTCCCCGGTTCGAAACCGGGCGGAAACACATTTTGTTTTACTACGTATGAAATCAACACACTGTTCCATTAAAATAAAACATACCTGCTATTTTCTTTGAACACACCATTTTATCTCTTAGTTTGGTGAACACATTAGCTCTGCAAGGTACGAGGCTGAAGTTAGATTCCGATTAGGGAAACGGTTAAAGGGACATTACACCCAATTTTTCTCTACTCTGGCCATCTTTACGCCGGGGACACACCGGCCGCGGAAGCGCCGCGAAGCGCCGAGAAGCGAATCGCTCACGAAATTCGGCCGCTGCTCGCCGCTCCTCAGTTCAGATCAGACGCGCCCCAGTCGAGGCGCGCCTCGGCTCAGCTGTAGTTTTTCTTTTAAACACTTGGGTGTCCTCCATTTCCTCTCTGCCTTTTCTCAGCTCTTTTCCTACGTTTGAGTGTTTGTGCGCGTGCGCGCGCGCGCGTGTGTGTGTGTGTGAACCTATGGTATGAGTTGTTTCTGCCAGTTGAATCTCTTGGAACCCGCTCCAATTCTGCAGCTGTATCCTAGCAGTTTCTTCCGACATGGGTACGTAAACAATCATGTTTTTCGGGGGTCGTACAGCTCCTTGTGTTTCTCAACTTCCATAATTAATTTAAAGTCATCCATCCTAACTGCTTGCCTCAGACTTTCTGCCTCTCTGTCCTGTTTGCTCCGGTGAAAAGACACCCAAAACCACTCCCCCCTTCACGTGGTCACACACGCACACAAGTTCGATGTGTGTGTGTGTGTGTGTGTGTGTGTGTGTGTGTGTGCGTGTTCGTGTGGTTTTTCTGCAGTGTCTGTTTACGAACACATTTGACTATTGCGGAATTTTATTTTGAAATGCTTTATTTTGTTAACTTTACCGGCCTGCCTCTTATGTCTACGTTTGACTTCCTGCCAGAATTGACGCGATTCACCCGCGGCTCGCGAAAAAAATAGAGCCAACGCCGAAATGATCGCTGCACGGCGCGGGCTGGAGCGCCGGCGCGAGGCGATTCGCGGCGCTTCGGCGGCCCATGTGGTCTATAGAATAGCTTAACAAGGGCGCCGAATGAAGGCGGTCCCATTTTCGCGGCGCTTCCGCGGCCAGTGTGTCCCCGGCCTTACTCTGCTCTAGCTCAAAAACGACAATACCCGCACTCTTCAAACCTGTTCTAGATTATTCCACAATAATAGCAGATTGCATACAACCTTGTTTGGGAGTTGTGAAATCTTTCCCTGATTCGTGAAACTTCTACAAAGCCAGATGTATGCATTTTTCAGCACCTGCCCGACACTGGAACTGCTCTAGCTCAAGAAGTACAGCACATACACTATTCAAACCTGTTCTAGATTATTCTACTATAATAGCAGATCAAAGAAAACACAGTGTGGAATTTGTGAAACCTTTCCCTGATTTGTGAAACTTCAACAAAGCCTGATTTATGCATTTTTTTCATCATCTGTCCAACACTGGAACAGCTGTAGCTCAAAAACTACAAACCCACACTGTTTAAACCTGTTGTAGGTTATTCTACTATAATAGTAGATTGCATAAAATTTTGTTTGGCATTTGTGAATCAATCAGATTTATTTATAAAGCGCTTTTTAAACAAAGTGCTACTCAAAGTGCTTTACAAAATGACCCCAGATTACCATAACAGGTTAAAAACATTAACAGACATATGCAAGCACACACACACACACACACTAGTTAAGGCTCTTACTCACACATGCACACACACTAGTTAAGGCTCTTGCAATAGTTTGTGTATGTGCGTGTGTGAGTAAGAGCCTTAACTAGTGTGTGT